GCCCGCCGCCGGCCCCGCCTGCGCGAGCGGCGGCACGGGGGCACCGGGCCCGGGCCGCGGCCCCCGCASCGAGCCCGGCGCACAGCACCCACCGGCCGTGCCCAGCGCCGAACGGCGCCGCGCAGACCGAAAAATCGCAWAGATCCCCCTGAAAAAGGGGATGCGGCCTCGGCAAGCCCCCCCCGAGCACAAAAGGCTGCAGCGTCCTCATTATCTGCAGTTCTATCTGCTCTGGGTGCAGTGTCACCTCTGGGTGCACCCCGGCACACACCTCTGTTATTTACCCCTCTCTGGGTGCACACTGCCACATAGGTGTGTTATTTACCCTCTCTCTGCGTGCACACCAGCACATATATGCTATTTACCCGCCCTCTTGCTGCACACTGGCACATATATGTGTTGTTTACCCCCCTCTGCGGGCACACTGACACATACATGTGTTATTTACCCTCTCTCTGGTGTCAGCACGTATGTGCCTYGCTCTCGCAGGCAGACAAGAGGCCTGCAGCGCGCTGCCCTGCAGCTGAGGAGGACGCGAAACGTTGGCCAACTCCTCGGGAAGTGCCACAAGACCGTTAATATCCACAGAAAGCAGATGGCGTCTCGGATTCAGAACCTCATCCAAAGGAAACACTCATAGGAAGCCACATGGAATTACACGTTTGTTTATTCTGCGACTTTTGCACTGCTTTTTGCATTGGTTCTGAGATTTTCCAGGGAACATTATCCTAGTTTTGCACTGGTGCAGTCCAACTATAGTTCAAATTTGTAAAAAAAAAAAAAAAAAAAAAAAACACAACTCCCAACACCAATCCCTAATGTCGATTAGACTTAAATATATCCTCTTTAGGAAGAGGAAGGCTGAATCAGCTCCACTGGGATTCCAAGCTGCTAATTCAGAGAGGTGGAAGAATTTAAATCTGAGGATGTGATTATGAAGTGCACGTTCAGCCATAAACAAGTGTGTTACCTCTCATTATTTGTTTTCTGTATTCTGTTTTTGCAAGAGTAGCTGTTTCATCTGTGTCTCAAGTAGGGGGATGAAGGTCACTGTTCTCATGTTAAGGGAAAGGCAAGAAGTGTAAATGACCCAAAATAACCCAGGAAGCGGCCCCTTGGACATACTGGCAACAGAACACGGGCTTCCAGCACCCAAATACCCTTGAAAGAAACCATATGAAAGGACGAGGGGTTGGACTACATGATCTCTAAAGGTCCCTTCTGACCTTAATGATTCTGTAATGATCCTCGGACGGCCACGCTGACTGTTCCACAAGAGACACCATTTGCACTAGGAATTTCTCCTGCACTAAGCAGCTGTCCGGACGACACGCATGGATTTACTCACATCTGAGGTGGGATTATATCCCTAAGTATAGCTACAGCCACAGCGATAATTAGTTGTACACTGATTGACTTGGACATCTCCAAGACTAAAATCAGAAGCAACCCGTACATGATCTCAAAAAAGGATGCAGGAAAATATCCTGAAGAAATGGTGAATGAAACGGCACTTTTTGGGCCGGCTGGAGGCACCACCCAGCTAGGCCACCTAGGCTGTGCAGGACTAACATGTGAGGAGAAAGGGCTGTTTCTTCCAGCTGCTCTCTGCTTATTTTCTCTTCTTGGGTAGGGAAGCTGCTGTAGAAAGCTGATGCTGTGGTTTCAGTGTGTGGCTGGTTCTGCTTTCATTTCCGACATAGTTTTAGGCAAATCACTTCATGCTCCTGTGTTTTTAGCCTTTCCTCCAATGCAAAATCTCCCAAGAGACATTTTGAAGCACAAAGTCATGGTCTTTTGTGACTTCTGGTACCTGAAACCCTGACAACTTTCCCAAAGACTCTGATCTGCAGGAGCTGTGGTGCAGGGCAGCAAACAAACAACAAACTCGTCACAGGGATTTGGATTCAGCTCAGAGGAGCTAAGCAAAGAGTGGGGTTTGCAGGAAAGAGCAGTTCCCCTCCAGATCGATCCAACATGGAATCTTCTTTCTCCTTTTCCCATAAATATGGATGCGGAGGTAAACGGGACATACTGGTGACAGATGGTACATATTAAAAAGACACTTTAATTATGGGAATTGGAGAGAGTTCTTTATGCAGGTAAGGCTTTTACAGGTGCTTTTTTTAGAGGGAAAAAGAAATCCCAATTCTCCCAAGCAGCTCCTGACAGAGAAAGCCCAGGGCTCCAAGGACTGTTGACTCTTGTCATTTCAACAGATAGCAAAATGATGTGCTTATTAGAATCTCGCAGTTCAACTCATCCCATAAAAATGTTTGTTTCTTTCCATCTGCTGCCTTTGCAGGGAAGGAAAATCAGCCTGTTCTGAGACCAGGAAGTTCTTCAACATTTAAACAGCTAGCTATAAAAACAAAAACTGTAGCATGCATAATCATACCTAAAAATATCCTGCATGTTATTCACACATATAACCCAGCTCTGCAGTAATTCCTAAGTAACACAGGGCTGCATAAAGTACACAGACACACAGATGTGGGCAGAACAAGTCAGCTGTGACAGGAGATGCACGTGTCTGGCTCTCTTGTACTCTCATAGGGTTTTCACTCTTATTAAAACATGTTTTGTTTTTACTGGGAGCTGCTTGCTGCCCACTGCCTCTATGTCTTTGTGCACTGTATCCACCAAAACAGTTTGCAGAGGAGGTTAAAGCGAGAGCCAGACCCTTTGTGATCAATACGGACCCACAGCATGTGAATTTAAACCTGGCACCCTTCGCAAATCCCGGTCGTGACAGCAGGGCTGTGCTCCAAGCCTGATCCTCAGAAAACAGATCTACACTTAGCACCCCTGAGGGGACCGAAGAAGTGCTTTAAAAGGGAGTAAAGGATGGATCCAGCCATGCTGATAGCAAACCTGAGAGCAACCAGAGTCTGAGACACGGCTGCCCTGCCGTTCAGTGCTGGGAGAAGCGCAGGGTGAATTCTGCAGTCAATTTTTATGCTGTCTGTGCCTTCAGTATCTGCTTTCCAGAAATCTCAGCAACCTTGCCAGGTTACCATAGCAGCCGTGCAAGATGGGAGATGCGCTGTGTGCTGTCTGCAGCCTAGAGGTGCCACTGCACTGTAGCTATGGAGCTATTCAGCAGTYTTGTCCTCGCACAGCAGAAGCTGCATGTGTGTTCCAATTACTAACACTTAATTACAACTCCCACAGCAACATGCGCATCAAGAGACTCATTTAGTAGAATCTCCCCTTGTGGGACATGTGYAGGCAATGGCATTACAGAGGGAAGCTGATCCAGGATATGAACTGCTTGGACACTAGGCCAGGACCCTGCATCACATGGGAGTCAAAGGTCTCCTCATTTAGCTCAGTTCCCTTGTTCTGTGCCCACGAACCTATAGGAATTGTCATTCCTGCCAGTGTTCTTGTGCCCAATGGCTGTATCATGCTGGTATTATTCCCATGGGAAAGGTGGATAAGCTATTCTAGACAGGGCCATGGGGGTTGAAGCCTGTTAACACCCTTCATTTCCCATGCAAATACAGATGAAGGACTTCTCAGACAGTATCAGTCCAGCAAGGCCATTTAAATTATTAAAATACGAAGGAAAGATCCTACAAAAGCAAACTGCATTTTTTTTCCACATGACAGTGAAAAGCAGTCTGAGAAGTAGGAAGCGTGCAATGCAACAGAATATTTAGAGCTATAAATGTCTTCAGCAGAGTCTAAACAAACCTCTTAATTCTCATCAAGACTTACAAGGAGAGCTTAGCACGTGTCCATGGCAGCTTGGCAGAAGCCAGAGCAATAAAAAGAGTTATTTTGGAGATACCACTCCTGTGGAGAGCGGCACAAGCCTCCACAGATCACTCTGTGTACTCTAAGTGCAGTTTATGCTAAAACAAACAAACAATCACTCCGCTATTTACTTAGTGTAACACAGAAGAGCTTAAGTGTTTCAGGAAATAGGCAGCCCTTGGACTCAAAGGCTGACACGGGGAACCCCTTGGGCGGGCAGGCAGGGAAGGAGGTGATTTGCAGATTCTGGGGGGCAGTTTCCAAGAAGTTTATAACTATCTTTACAGGAATTCCATCCTGTCCAAGATAAAACTCCAAAACACCTCGAGAGCAAACGCACGCGAAAGCAAGCGGTTTGTTCCTTCCTCCGAGACACTGCTCCTGGCTTCGCTTCACAAATCCGGGTTGCTGAGATCCGCCCACACCAGCTGAAGAGCTGAGTCAAGCAGATCATCACAATGCAGTGCAACAGCCCAGCAGAAATACAAACAGAGTAAGGAAATTTTTAGGTGTTACCTTYGAACTATATGTGTGGGAAAATGATACCCCCAAAAGCACTGTCCTTTCAAGGAGTTTCAATTTTTTTTTTTTCTTGTAAAATGTTTCTACATTTTTTAAAAAGTATTCATAATCTTGACTAATTTTAAAACATCTTTACCAGCCTGAGCACTTAAAAGTTTACAGTACTTTAAAATAATTACTTTAAGTTCTAATAGTACAAAATTTCAGTGTAGGAATTGCTGTGAATAGAAAGGAATTCACGAACCTTTGCAGAATCAGGATCTCTTACCATTAGTGTGAAGCGAAATAACCCAGCCTTCCTCTTTCCCAGGATCTAGCTGGGGGAAAAAAATAAAAAGGACTTCAGATCATTTTTGCAAATACTTCTATGATAAACAGCACCTAATTTATCACTATAAAGCCTCTTTCCTTCCTGTTTTCTATATATAAGGTCTAGCACTTAGTCAGATTTGTGTGGTGAAGGGAGAAAAAGGGAAATAACCTCTATTTTTTACATTCCTAACCAGCTGTAGTAAGTAAACAGCGTACAGGATTTGGCGCTGCCAACCGCAGCAGGGCTGTGTCAGCACTTCAGGGGTCTCTCCTTCTCCAGAGACCGGCACATGGGGCAGTCAATCATGATCGGAGAGGGGATCGATCATGATCGTGTTGTTGATGTTAAGGAGGGCGCTGCTGGCCCTGGGGTGCTGCGGTACCACAAGSGCATCGTGTGCAGCCTGACCCCCAGGGAAGGACGGGGCCGTTCTGGCCAYGCTGCGGACAGTTTGGGGCAAAGATTCACAAGACTGCTACTGTGAACGGCAAGGGAAACAGGCCCTAYGAAAGGAGGGAAAGGCGAGCGGCGGACACGCAACCCGCGGGGCTGTCCGCACTGGCCAAGATGGCTCCGGAGGGTGGAGGCGCCTCAGGGATCCTGCGAAGGGGGATCCTGCCAGGGGGATCCCGCGCTGTCGGGGGGACTCTGCGAGGGGACCCACCCCGGTGCCGGGCCCGGGACGAGACTCCCGCTCCAAGCCGCCTTCCCGCCGGGAGCCAGAGCTCTGCCCGGCCGCTCCCGCCCCACAGCGGCCAACATGTCGCCCCCCCGCCGCGCGGCCGCGGGCTAAAATGGCGGCGGGGGCAGGGCCGGGGGGTGGGGCTGTGGCACGGGCCCGGCCCGGCCGGGCCGGAGCGGGGTGGGTCGGACCGGACCGGACCGGACCCGAGCGGGGCGGGTCGGGTCGGACCCAGGCGGTGGTGGCCGGCGACATGAAGCTCGTCATCCTGGAGACGTACGCGCAGGCCAGCGAGTGGGCCGCCAAGTACATCCGCAACCGCATCGTGCAGTTCAGCCCCGGGCCCGGGCGCTACTTCACGCTGGGGCTGCCCACAGGTGCGTGGCGGGTGGCGGGGGCCCGGGGCGCGCGCGGGCGCCAGCGCACACCCCCGTTTCCCCGCAGGGAGCACCCCGCTGGGCTGCTACCAGAAGCTCATCGAGTACTGCCGCCACGGGGACCTCTCCTTCAGATACGTGAAAACTTTCAACATGGACGAGTACGTGGGTGAGTGGTTGGGCCGCGAGAGGAGGCGCGGGCGGGATCCCCACAACCCCGGGGGTGTTTTCATGGGCGAAATGGATTCAGAGACACCCCCCACCCACCAAAAAAAAAAAAAAAAAAAAGAGTAGAAATTTGCCTTATCGACTTAGTGACAGGAGTCAGCAGGAATGAGTTGCAAATCTCGGTAAGAAATACTAAAGGTCAGGCGTATCGCCTTGTGCCCTTGGAGAGCGGTACGATTTATCTCAGGGTATCAATCGGCTCCGGGGTGCTGCTTTACAGCCACGAGGCGCAATAAAGCGCAGCGCTAACCAGCGCCCTTGCTCTGGGGCTGCAGAGGCACCTCCTGGCCCCACGGGCCATGGGCTTGCAGGGTGGTTGAGGGCAGCATTCCTGAAAGATCCCGCGTTTCTGGTCAGTGACGTGGATGGAGCAGCGCAGCTCCTGGGTGGAGAGGCTGGGAAAGGCAGCGCTGAGTCCTGCAGCTCTCCAGGTGAAAACCATAAACACTAACATAATATTTGCTAGTGCTCATTTCATGCTGGTTTTTAAAGGGGGGTGGGCCAAGAAGCTTTTCTGTGAACAATCCCCAACAAGCTGTGTTAGGCAATGTATATATGTAGCACGTAGAAAGATTTCCAGAGGTGGAAAAGTAGACAGTAAATTCACTCCCAAGCTTCTGCACATGATTTAAACTATTTTAACTTATGCCCGCTCTTCTAGAATATCCTTTGGGTGCTCATATGAGCATATGCTCTATGGGAACTATTGTGACTGTCTTGATTGTGTTAATCAGAAAAAATAAAAACTCAAGAAAGTTGAGGTTGTTGCATATAACAGACAGAAGTCAGTCCTCTGTAACTAAAGCTGCTGTAAGGGTGTGCGGGGCAGGTGGTTTTACATGATGGGTGATAACGTTTTCTCTTTTTCTTACCCCTGTGCATGCTCTTTGCCAGGTCTCCCAAGGGATCACCCAGAAAGTTACCATTCCTTCATGTGGAATAACTTCTTCAAACATATTGACATCTCACCCGAAAACACTCATATTCTGGATGGAAACGCGGCTGACTTACAGGCTGAATGTGATGCATTTGAGGATAAAATCAAAGCAGCTGGTGGGATTGAACTCTTCGTTGGAGGTGAAAACCTGAAGGACTGGCAGGTTCTAAACACTTACGGGACGCGTTGCCTTTCGTCTACCAACTACGGTTTAATTTGCCAGAGAGTTGATTTAAAATGCAGTTCAGTGGATTTGCAGTGAAAGCCACCCCTGCACCATCTGCCTGTGATGCTCATGAGTGCTGGCAGCCTTGTCCTCCAGCATACCACTCCCCCAGTTTAAGTGTTTCAATCCAGTAAGTGAATTACTTGGGAAATGATAATGCACGAGAAACAGGCACGGCCAGAACTGTACCAAACCCAAAATGCCTTACAAAAGCCAGTGCTAGCAGGGAACTCCTGGAAGTTGTAGTAGTGCTGAGCCCTCAGCACTGAGCTCAACACAGTCCTTTGCAATGAGCCCATCTTTAGATTCCCCCTGTCCAGAGGGGTCTGTTGCTAGCACTTCCGTCAGGAGTGGCAAATTTGAGCTTGAGCAAAAAAAAAAAAAAAGAGCTTTGCAGGTGTGTTTCTCATTTCTGTGTTTATTCCTGGAAGTCTTGAATGTCCTTTAATGAGAGTGACATTGGTTCTGCTCCCTACAACAGCTCTTTAAGCCAGTGATGTAGTTCTTACACCGTCTCTGTCGCAGGTATTGGCCCAGATGGCCACATCGCCTTCAATGAGCCTGGCTCGAGTTTGGTGTCAAGAACAAGAGTGAAGACCTTGGCTATGGACACGATACTGGCTAACGCCAGGTTCTTTGATGGTGACCTCTCCAAAGTCCCCACCATGGCTTTGACCGTCGGAGTAGGCACAGTCATGGATGCTAGAGAGGTTAGGAGAACTACAAGAGCTGAGCAGGGCTTCCTCCTTGGAATACTTTGAGTATCTAAAGTTTGCCCAGACTTGGAGCAGCAATGCTCCCTGCTGGTGTAGGCCAGCCTACGTTTTTCCTGTCACAAACAACTAAATGATCCTGCTGTTGCCCTGCAGCTTCCCGCATTGCTGCATAAAAGCGCACGTGCTCTAGCCCTCCTTTTTTTTTTTTTTTTTTTTTTTTTCTTTTTTTCTCCTATTTTTACTATATGGACTTAAGTTTGAGTGCTCCTGCAGTGCTGTTGTAACATGGGGAGCTGGGAAGGTTTAGAAGGATGTCCTTAGTTAAGAAGTTCACCTGATTAAATGATTGAAGGAATTGGCTTGATACTATCCCAACAGATTAGAAAACTCTGGGATGACCTTAATGAGTCTATACCTTGATGTGTACTTGGGCAAAATATCTGGATCATTAGAATGGCCCTCCCTCCAGACTGTGGTTCAGTTAACAAAACTAAACACTGTCACAGTTGACAGCAGCTCTGTTACAGTGAAAAGCTGCTGACGCCAGGGGCTTCCCCTGTGGTGACTGGAGCAGCTCCCCTAGTTCTGCTGTGTTTGGAGGTGGTTTCTYCAAGTGCGTCTTGCAGACCCTAACTGCCCTTTCTCTGTGTCCCTGCGTCCAGGTGATGATTCTTATCACAGGAGCACATAAGGCCTTTGCCTTGTACAAAGCCATCGAGGAAGGGGTCAACCACATGTGGACAGTGTCCGCTTTCCAGCAGCACCCCAACACCGTGTTCGTGTGTGATGAAGATGCGACTCTGGAACTCAAAGTTAAGACAGTGAAATACTTCAAAGGTGAGTGTTTCGCCGGATCAGGCAGCTGCTGTGTTTAGTTCTGAAGTGGCACATGCCATTCTAAGCTAAAAAATGTTTTTTTAATCAACTCCGTAAAGAGTAAGTTCCTTAATGAAGGTACAGTGACGATAAAAGAGCAAGTGTAATATTTATACCTGTGTGCATGGGAGCAAAGAAATGATTCTTATCACAGTAATCCCATTAGCATTCCATGAATGAGGATTTTGCTTCACTATGTCTTTTTACTTGCTCCATTAGGTTTAATGATGGTTCACAACAAGCTTGTGGAACCCCTGTACAGCATGAAGGAAAYGGGAGCAGAAAGAAACCAGTCCAAGAAGCCCTACAGTGATTAACCTTGTGCTGTTCAGAGTTATGCTAAGGCACCTCTGCTGTGGAAAACCAGCTGTGAAGAAAGGTGTTTGCTGCATAAACTCATCTCACCAGTTCTTAAATTGGGAAAATGATCGTGTGCTTGCTTCTCTCCATTAAAAAGAGATGCCAAACATCTACCTTAATCAACCAACTGTAGATGGGATCCAGCATACTGAGTTGCACAGGCCTTCACTATCTTACTCRCTAAAAGTAAAGTCAGCAGAGAATAAGAATGTTTAATCTGTATGCTCCAGATTATGAATGCTCCAAAACTTAAATGTGAAGATGATGTTGGAGAAATCAACTATGTAATCATTTAGGAATGTATTCCTTGCACTGTGAGAAGTGCATTGTGTAATTCCCCCTCCACAAACCACTCCTGCTTCACACTCCTTTAATGACAGAACTGGACTTGTTCAGCCTGGAGAAGGAGAGGCTCTGTGGGGACCCAGGAGACCTTCGGGACACAACTGGATAAAGTCTGATCTGACCTCACTGCAGAACCCTCTCAAGCCTCTTTTCTTGTAGTTTTTTCTTTGAGGATCAAGTGTTTAAAGGGTGCTATCGGAGGGCAAACTTCTTCACACTAAGCATGAATGATTTCCACCCYTGCTGTCCAGCGTGCTGTCATGGGAGAGCCTCAAGCTCTGTCTCCCTTCCCTTACTTTACAGGACTCTGATTACTAAAAAGGCATCCAAGGAGATGCAGCCTTTGAGCTGAGCTTGTGCTCACTTGAGCCCCATAAAGGCGGGCAAAAGTGTGCGTGGGCAGGACCCCGTCCTTGCTGCCTTGCTCTGCCGCAGCAGGGGCTCCCAGCAAACRCTGTAAGAGCGAGGAGACGGGGAGGATGTAGTTGGTTCATACTGGAATTCTGTGAACTGCAGATCTGCAACGTAGCTTTCTACAATAAATGCCTAACTCTTTTTCTCTACCTAGTTGCATGACTGCATCCACCCCTCACTCTGAACATACTAGTGAGACTTGGAACAGTTTGTGGCTAAATCATGTGGGGTATCAGAATATTTTACTATAAAACTTGTAATTCTGGCTGAGATYCCGGGCCACAAACTTTCATCCCCTCCTACCCTTTCTTCAGCCCCCCTGCATGGCCAGCCCCCTGCTCGAGATCCAGCATCCCTGCAGCCTCGAGGCAGGACGGGTGGAAGCAGCACGTCCTTCTTGTATCAAACATTCCCTTTCTCACAGTTTGTCAGGAAAATGTCCTGCACAGGAGCACAAGGGATCCCCACCCAGCAACACAATGGAGCTCTATGCCCCATGCTGCCCGCCTGCGTTTCTGATGTTGTAATGAAGACAAACAGCGAGACAACCACAGTTACTGTCTTAAAGTGAATTTAGTGCATGTGCAAGGTGCAGGAAATACAGATTCAACCACACATGGTGTAAACTTTCCCTCCACACTGTCCTTCAACATACAGTGAGTCCAAGGACCACTTCTGTGCACCAGAGAGAATCTGCTGCCCAGAGCCCCTCTTACACACCTTTTTCTCTTTGCCCATTCTAATCACAGAAACTTGTCCTCTGGGAAAGCAACTACATCGACAGTCGTTTTGGCCAGATCTCTGAATAGAAATTTATTTACTATCAAAATTGGGCAAGAGGTGTTCACTTTGAGATTCTGAAGAGTTTTTAAGCTCTGGAGCAATCCCAACCCTGCTCTTCCTTGTTCTAAACACAGCACATGCAGTTTTAATTTTTAAATAATTTTTAGACCATTCTGCAAGAGGAAAATGATTCTTTAAGAAAAAAAAAAATGATTCCCTCCCAAGAATTATTTTCATGCTCCCACAACTACTTACTGAGCTTCTAATGGAAAAGATTTGGGTTTTCTGGACACATTCTGAAGGGCAAGAACAGTGAAATTAACGGATCTAGTCCAGAAGCAGTAGCTCTACCAATCAAATTCCTTAGAAGAAGTCTTGGTAAAAAATAAGTTACACCAGCACCCAAGAAGCAAGAAAAGGTGATTTTCACCATTTGAGGAAATCAAGTTAATTGTGACTGTAGAAATGTGTTTCAGTAAAGGACCCAGGCGCTGGAGCCAGTAAAAGGGGGTTGGGGTGACCAGCTTCCCCGTCATTGTTGAGAGGACCGGTGCCAGAGCTACGAGCCGTTTCTCRAGGAGCCGGTAAGGAAATGCTAGAGAAGCAGCAGGTGCAAATACCGAATACAGGAGAACCTTCTGTGTTGTTTTAGTAACCTTTTTTTTTTCCAAAGAACATCCCACTAAGTGGGAAAGAACATTCCCACTGTAATACCACTGCCTCCCAAAGCATAGGGTAGAAGTCAAGATCCTTGAAAAGCCAGTTTCCCTGAACGGAACCCCAAAATATATTTATGATTTCACCGGTTATTTTGATTTTTTAAGCGGAGCACTTCTTGGTAGACTTTTTCTTTTCCCTCTCTTTTGTCCTAGTCCCTTTTTAAACTTCTGGTGGTTGTTTTTCTCTTTAGCACTAGACCTGCTTATTAGGGCCTTAAATCACCACTGGATGGGTAAAATGGTCTCCTTTGGTTCTGACAAGAGCTTCTGAAGAGCTGTGAGAGTATCCTGCAGTGCACAGTGTTAATCTATCATATGAACAGAACTGAAAAGCAAAAAAAAAAAAAAAAAAAAAAAAAGACACAAAACCAGACAGCATCTGTGTCTGGTTTCTTCAGCTTTTCTTGCTAGAACAGTTACTAGTCTTCATCTTCAGCATCCCAGAACTCACCATCAACATGCATAGCTTGAAACAACCTGTAAGACAGATGGAAATTTATATCAAGWTCCAGGAAAAGAGATGAATTTCATGAGAAATACAGATGTGTCAGGTCCTGGAATCYGTGCAGAGGTCATTAGAGAGGCAAGGCTGCCATGCTGGGGCGCTCGGCTCTGCCTTCCCTTTCCTTGGCCCAGGCGGCCGCCGCGTCTCCGCAGGCACCTCCGGCAGAGCCGCGGCTTTGCACGAGCAGCCTGCTGCCCCCRGGTGCCTGAGCATTGATCTGAGCCCCTTCAAGAAAGCCTTTCACTGGGGACTGTCGCCCGGACAGAGCGGCAATGGAAGCACTGGAAACAGGCCCTGAAAACTTCTCCAAAAAACTAAACCAAAAGTCCTCACAGGGCAAAAATACATCCCAAATGACTCCTGCAGTCTTTCTGCCAGCTCCTTAACAGTGTAAATATTTTCAGGAGAAGAAACTTTATCTTAAGCTGTATAGCTACATATTTCAAGCTACAAATAATTTGGGAAAGATTGAAAAAAATACGCCAAAGTGGTAYTGCACTGTAGACAATGTGTGTAAATACATACCGATTGAAGCACGGGGAAGATGGATCGTTGAAGTGTCTGTACGGGTTCACCCTTGACAGAGAACCCATACAAAGCCAGCAGAAATACTGCATGCAGCCAGTGCACGTCATCTTGTTACAGCCATCTAGTTTCTGGCAGGGAAGGAAACAAGAAATAGCAGTAAGAATAAAACCATCTCAATCGTCAGGCCTGCCTGGGCAGGAGACCAGTCCTTAAGATGGATCAGCTAATGAATACGTATTATCAGTGATGTTTTCCCTTGTTGGGGAACTCTGAGCCAGAATCATAGAATTGAAATTTGGCTGTGTTACTAAAAATACTGAACATCATTATTTCTCTGAAGCTATTTTTAATTGCTAGGTATAGCAGAGACTGACATTTCAAAAACTAAAAGTAGTCACATATGAATATTATATTTAGCTTGATTAAAACTGCAGCAAACTGAAACACATAGAAAACAAAGGGATCCAAAGTCGACCTGGATCTTTTTTGTACTGTAGTGTGAACATTATGAGCTGTTTTATTACTCAAGGCCCTGACCTTTAGAAACATCCTCCTCTATATAAAACAGACACAAATGCAAAGTTCTCTTGTCCGTTGCTGCCTTCCCCAGCTATCTTGGGCTCTACAAATTAATCTCTGTTCTCGCCTAATTACAGAACTGACTTAACAGTTAGTTCCTGTCAAGAATAACAGTGATTCTCCCAACTTCCCTGCCCTGCTCACCTCTATGTGAGTACCACAGCAAGGACAGGACTTGGAGTTCTTTTCTAGCCATTCTTTACTTTCCATTTCCTCCAGGGCCTTCTGGATGACTCGTTTGCCATAACGCTGTTCCAAAAATCTTTTAGTTGTGTCATCTGCTTCTAAATATTCATTACGTAAAGCCATTAATTTCTCTAGGGAGTAAAACAAACAGGTTCTGTGATACACTGCATAAGGAAATCCACTGAATAACAGCATGAAGTGCTCTCAAAGGAAATTCGTCAGTCATTAAAAAGACAAGAAAATACAAGAAGAGGAGGGTTAGTATTAACCCACTTGTCCGTAGTTTTGCACTCTCATTATAACAGCATGAGAACAGTCAATGAAATCAGAACAAGTCTGCRATGCAAAATTAACTGGAAAAAAAAATTCCAACATTTAACGATACTGTCACGTTACATAGAGATTACAGATTTAGCAAAGCATTTGCTTGATCCAGCATCACCCCTGACAGTAGCCAAAAGGGGATTTGTAGGAAAAGGCATAAAAGAGYACGTATTATGTTATTCTTGCCCCACTGGGGCCTCTCCGAATTTAGCACTCAGCAATTTCTGAACCTCCTGAACTATGGAGCAGCGTCCAAGCCACTCTTGCTGACCGACGACAACAAACCCATCCCCAGCGAGCGGGTCTGATCCTGTGCAAAGCTCTTGGGGCAGCGACTTGCACTGTTCAGTGTCCGRCTTTATCTTTCCCACACAGGAGTTAGTTGCTTCTCGGTCCGTGTCTGCAAGCCGAGCACTCACCTGCCGTGACCTTGCAGGGGGACACTCCGTGGTAGGTCATTTTGCAGACAGTGCAGAAGGCGTAATTGCAGCGGGAGCAGATGCCCATGGTGCAGCCCGGCTCCTGCATGACGGGCGTCTGGCAGCCGGCGCGCGGGCAGTTCACCACGTCGGCCATCAGGTCCAGGCTGGACTGCAGCAGCAGCCGGTCGTAACGCGCAAACAGCTGCTCTCCCACCAGCTCCTTCACCTGCACAGGAGCAAAGCAAGATGACAGCAACCTGAATTCTCGCTCTGCACCAAGAAACAGTCAACAGAGTACCTACAGCTGGGATCAATCAATTCCACATTCTCTAAAAGATCAGGAATTACTCCTAGAAATGCTGTCTCTTAGAAATGCTGTTTAATTATAGCATAATCATTTTAAAATACTGTAATAAGATTTATTAGCAGTGCAAATCACAGGCACTGCAGACTTCAAATGAAGAAACAAGCACTGTCAAGTGCAATGGGACATGAATTCAGCCCTAATCAATGCCAGTCCTATTGCAGCTAGCCAAATTGGTGCCGTGTGATCCCATTTCAACTCAGGTGCTGCTGTGAAGCTCGGAGCACAAGGCAGTCCTGCCTGGTGTATCCACCATTCCCCACAAGCCGGAGCCTTGGATCGTGCGCTGGAACGCGGAGCCCAGCGGGGCGCAGCRGCTCTGCTCGCACACGGGTATTACCTGGCCAGGGGTGGCAACAGAAGAACACTTTGGTTCGGGGCAGTTGAGGCAGTGCACCTGGCCATCCCTGATCTGTATTTCGAAGTAGTCCTTCAGGCAGGCCTTGCAGTACACGTGGCTGCACTCCGTGAAGTGCATACAGTCACTGCCCAGCTTCTCGCAGAAGCAGATATTGCACAAGTACATCTTGCTGTTAAAGCATTTCCTCCTCTGAGCCTGATCAAAGTCCAGGATTTCCCTGATCAGGCTGGACAACGATTCCACGTCCTGCACGGCTCTTTCATCCATGATCTCTCCGTCAGCTGCGGCAGAGCCSGTGGCACCACAATCCTTCCCAGCATCGACAGGAACCAAAGGGGCTCTGCTCTGACCTGTTTCTTGATGGCACATTTTTAGCTCATATGGGGAGGAAATATTCAAGTAACTCAGCGTTTCCTCCTTCAGGAATTGCATCCAGGCAAATAAGACCACGCAGCCTCGATTCTCCTCCCAGACATTGTCTAAATGTTTGCAAAGAGCACTGAGCTGGAAGAGAAAAACAATTCCAGATTTAATAAGTGCCGACTTAGGTTACAGCCTCCCTCTCCCACAAGCCATGTTAGTGCMCATGTACATGTCAAGTTTTATAATGTGTGCACACATGAACGCATGTTTATGTGCATTTTTATACACACAGAAACTATAATCTAATAGTTCTCCTAGATGCAAGTTTTCATTACTCAGAATAGTACACAAAAATACAAACAGAGGAAAGAATAGAAATACTAGTTAAAATTTTGTTTACATTTTCCTTCCCTCTACTATATTTACAGTGCCACAGCACTGTTAACACGGACAGTCCCGGAATCACAAGGGCTAAGTCMCAAGCACCTTGCTCACCTGGGCTTGGGAGAGCCATTTGCCGCTGAGGGTGAACGCAGGCGGGGAGGTTGACGGGTAATCCGGCGGGAGCTCAAAATTCAGCACGAGGGGAGGCAGGAAGCAAACGGAGTATTCGAACGCGCTGCCGCCAGCACTGCCTGCGCGGAGACAAGCGGGGAGTTAATGGAAACGAAGTCAAGGAACTGCAGCTGCATGCGAGTGTGTGGGACATCTCCTCTCATCTGAGAAATTTCTGCTTTATCCTGCCCTAAGTAGCTGCCCAGCGCAGTATAATTCTCGGGGGTTGCAGGCACGTGGTTAGATCAGTGGGTACCACTACATGTGATACATCAGATTGTCCAAAAACAGTAACCAAGAGACAGAGCCTCAAGTGAAAAAAATAAAGCACCTTAATTATTCCAAAGAAACACTATTATTGCATTACTACCTTAAAGTTTGCTAAAGAGGTTACATGCTTGAGAATGAAGGAGCCCATACAGATTTAAAAGCCAACAACATCACAAGTAGACAAGGTTGGCCATGGTTCTGTCTTCATTGCTGCTAAAGCAGCAACCTCTGAACAGATACGAGAAAATTAGCTTATGAAAATGTAATTTTAGGATAACACAAAATATTTCAACTCACCACTCACAAAAACTTTGAAGTTTTGGGGCAGCTCCAAACAGATTCTTGTCTCCCCTCCTTGAGCAGACTCTGCTCTCTTAAACWCATCTTCATCGTAGATGCTAGCCAAGGCGAGCAGCTCATCCTCCTGAGCTTCCTTATCTTCTGCAGACATCTAAATTTGCTGTGGAGTTAACACCATACACGGGATCAGCTGGGTTCAAACACTAAAACTATCCATCTAGAATATGTGTTTTATGCTATTAAAATAAGATTTAGAAAGCAAAGTAACYGATACCAAAACAACATAAAATATAATTGAGCTCTTTTCACAGGCTGAATGCTAACAGTTCTGTAAATACGAGCCCCCAGTGGAAGACTGTAAACCAAAAAGCCGCCTTTTCTGTCAGGGCGGCTGGAGACAACGGCGCGGGAACAGTTCTGAGGGATCCAATGGCACCGGGGGCACAGGGAGGTTCCGCCGCGGGAGGGAAGCGGGATGAGGGGCAGGGGCAGCAGCTGGCGGCTCGGCCGCTTTCCAGAACGACACGTTCGTGCCCGGGGYCGCAGCGCTGGGAGCCGCTGCCCCCGGAACCGCTCAACGAAGCACAACAGAGCAGAAGCACCCCGTGTACCTTCCCCTTGGCTCCGTCGCCGTGACGAAGCTGGTGTCCGTTGGAGCGCGGCCACGTTAGCGGGGCCGGGGCACAGACCATTCCCCCGCGGCAACGCTGCTCTCCGGGTTCATACGGGCGGATGCGGCGGCCAAGGCGCGGGCGGCCGCGAGCCGCGGTACCGGGGCGCTGCGGGGCTAAACCCCGCCCGGCGGCGGCCCTGCGAGCACCGGCCCAGGCTCGGTTAGAGCGGGCCGCCCGGCCGGGCCCAGCAAGGCCGCCTGCGCCGCTCTATGGCAGCGACTCCCCGGAGCGGGGCGAGCGCGCAGCGATGGCGGCTCCCGCAGGGC